TACCTCATTAAGAGGGACAACCAGGAACATTGTACCGTGCGAGGAGGGGTCTTCTATAGAGTGTAGTTTTACTAGTTTTACTTCAAAGGTAAAATGATTTTTAATGATAACTTAAACCTTTAATGACAGACCTACTGTGAGTTGCGAGGTTGTTAATCAAGGTTATGTACTTTTGCTAAAGCCATGCATTCGCATAATTTCAACTTATTTTTTTAAAATAATCATGTTTAACAGCTGAATTCTTGGTGAAAAAACGACATTACCCATGATTTTGTACAGAAAATTTTACCAATGTCCCAGCGAGAAAATTGCACCAAAAGTGCTTGCATGAAGCAACACAAATGATGTAATCGTGTCGATCTTGCTATCATCTGAATAAAAAAAAATAAAAAATATATATATATACTAAATACATTTACTGTATACAGTATACATACATATACTACATACATACATACTGTATACATACATATACTACATACATATACAGTACATACATATACTGTATATACACTGTATATACTTAAACAAATCCCTATGGGAAAAATTAATGAAAAAAACACTTCCAGAACAAGCGCTGCTGAAAAAAAGTGGCCAGCACTAATGCATGTTATGAGGTAGGCTGCTTATTGGGTCTGGGGGACTAAGGGCATGCACATAAATATTTAAGATTTCTAGGAGCCACCCTGCCACATGGTTCTACTCTATTCCATTCTCCAAAATTGTTTTCAGATCTCAGCACTAATTCCTGCGGTGACGTAGACACTGACTAAGCAAGGCTGCACCTTCAAAGCCTGTACTAAAATCCTATGAAGCCAGCCTCTTGAATATGCCCATTACATCTACCATTAATTCCTCAATTCCCATTGCCATGATAGATGGCATCTGAAAATTCATTAAATGTTTGATAAAATATTTACAACTCTAAAACAAACCAATGCACATCCACTGAGAGAATCGTAGCCCCTGGTGCTTTTAGAGGCCAGACTGTAGCTGCTCTCTCCTGTAATGCGCTCAGTGTATTGGGAGTGTGGAAATGAAGATCTGGACATTAATGGAGGGGGGAAGGGTTGGGCAGACAGGAGAGGTCACTCACCAAACACATCCTCTTCTGCCTCGGCCAGTGGAGTGGAGGACATCTTAAATCTGTAAAAAGAGAAACTTTCAAGTTTAACTGCATGGACAAGAGAACATTTCTATGCTGACCACATACAGAGCAGTGGTGGCCGGTGCTTTCAAGTGGGGAAGCACAGATCAATTACAAAGTACTAGGATCTGTTCTTTTTGTTTCTGTAATGTTGATTCTAAAATCTGCTGCTCAAACTACCACTAAGCAGTGAAATTCATTGAAAATAATTGACCAAGCTCAGAACTCAGAAGACAATCTCTGGACATTTACAGCTAAGTTTTAATTTAATTTAAAAAAAAAGTATTATTATTTTTTATTTTAGAGGAAGAAAGTCTTCCCTGTGCTGTTTAAAAGAGTTTACCAAAAAATGTACATGTATGACTTGTTTTTCCTTCTTTGGACCACAAAAGAATATATTTTTGAAGAATGTTGGCAACCAAATAATTTTATATGGACAAATATAAATTATATATAATTTAATATGAAAAAAAAAAATTAAAGAAATTCTTCAAAGTCTTAATGGTTTGGAATGATATAAGGATAAGTGAATAATGACAGAATTTCCATTTTTGGCAAACTATCCCTTGTTTCACTCTTGTTTGTATATTCTACATGTTTTATATTACATATAAATTGTTAAAATCACATAAGCACAAAGTCTCTTAGTAGGGGAACAAAAAAATACACATACAGCACTGTTGGCCATGTTAGATTTGGCTGCCACATAGTGTCCAGGCAACAGGCCACTGTGCCATCTGCTGCCCAGCACCTTCAGACCGGTCAGTGCCCCTGCCATTACATTCATAACATCTATCTATCTATCTATCTATCTATCTATCTATCTATCTATCTATCTATCTATCTATCTATCTATCTATCTATCTATCTATCTATCTATCTATCTATCTATCTATCTATCTATCTATCTATCTTTATCTATCTATCTATCTATCTATCTATCTATCTTTATCTATCTTTATCTATCTATCTATCTATCTATCTATCTATCTATCTATCTATCTATCTATCTATCTATCTATCTATCTGTCTATCTGTCTGTCTGTCCATCCACCCACTCCTTCCATCCACCCATTCCTTCCATCCATCCATCCATCCAGTCTATTTGTCTATATTTGTTTGTAACTTAAATTCACAGTAAAATAATAATAATAATAATAATAATAAAAATTCAGGTTTCAATGTAGACCAAATTACTAACATCTGTTTTTACTTATATTGACAACCACTTAAAAAAAAAAGCTGATGGCAAAGAGAAAGCCACTTGTTTAATTATGTTCATAAAAAGTAGCTTTTCCCCAAGATACCACAAAATACTTATATAAATAGAGTGCACAATGTCATACACACAAACACACAACACTATTTATGCTAACACGCGACACTAAAATAATCCAATAAACATGCATTTGACAACATAAGATGTAACATAAAACCCTAATGTACATGAAGGATAAGAAAAGAAAAAAACGTCATATCAATGAAAAACCGTCAAGAGTGAGCAGTCTCACAGAGAATTCTGGGAATGTCAATTTACAGTTTTTCACTGTAAATTATAAGATGACATGTTCTTTTTCATGTTCTTTTTCACTTCCAAAAACTATATTTAACTGCAGTAGACTATTTTACTGTAAAATTACATGAAATGTCTCATTAGATCGTATTTCCCTCCGGATCTATTACAGTTTTTAACCGTAAAGAGTAAGGTAACTGGTAACAGATATTAACCTTAGGATTTTTACAGACTTTTATCATCACGGAACAGCGAGTAGAGATGGATTTTAGGAGAGGTGGTTGAAAGATTCACCTCCCCTATGGTTAAGTTCAAACGCCTGATCCATCATTAGCCATGGCTTCTGGCTAAACACAAAATAAACAAGACAGGACTACAATTTGATCTCAAACATCTAACTTTTGGTTCTTGTTAAGAAATCAACATAGGCTGACTGTCTGTACGACTAAGGCCTCACTTTCACAAGGCATCTCCCTGTGATGGAGATATAAAGCTAATGGCCATAAAACTGCCCCCTCACACATTATCCCATCTATAAGAATTAGGGGGGGTAGGGCTGCTAAGTAGCTGACAGGCAGGGAATGGCAATAGCAAACAAATCGATATGGAGATGGGAAGGGACGAATCTGACCTGTGTGCACATATCAGCAAATAAAAGCTAACTTTCACTGCAGGGCTAAAAAAAAAAAGGGTACATGCTCATCAACATTTCCTTGCTACGTAGAGATGTATAACCTTGTATGCAATACAAAGCCTGATCAATACATTACGTGTGAAAGAAGTAATTACAATCTCTATAGAAAGCATTAATATAGCTCACCTCTGCTACAAGAGCTGCAGATGACAATCAGGAAAAACAGAGGCTGTAAATCATGAATATTTCATTATGACAGATGGATGGAAGGGGGACAGGATGGAAGAGAAAGATGGATAAACAGACTCACCTCTATGTAGTTGCGTATCCCACAGCACAGCTCAGCTGCTGGGATGGGCTGTCATACTGCTTTTCTGCCCTCCTCACGGGATGCTGCTGGAGGACTTCTGTTCCTGGATGAGCACAAATTTACAACGTCATTGGGCTACTCTGCATGTACACACATACACACACACACACACAGAGAGAGAGAGAGAGAGAGAGAGAGAGAGAGAGAGAGAGAGAGAGAGAGAGAGAGAGAGAGAGAGAGAGCCCTCAGCAACAGAATGTCAGACACTGCTATACACACCCAAGGACAGTGTTGAAATAAAGGAGGCTGAGAGAGACGGATAGAGAGAGAAGGGAGGGAGGGAGAGACACATGTGCATCATGAATCAATGTTATTACCACTCCAACAACCAATCAGCTTTTATACCCGTCACAGAGGAAATCTATCAGTGTGTGTCTGCTTCCATTTCACTTACAAATACAAGAAAAAAGGTACTTACGTGTTGGCTATGTATGGTAAATCTGCCTATATGTGGATTATCATATTTTAAAATGCAATCACACAACTTCAAAAACATATAAATAAATAAAATGTTTTTAAAATAGGCTAAATGAAATCATGATTTTACATAGGACAACAGTGTGCGAACATATTTGAGTTGTGCATAAAGCACAACATATTTTATGGAATATTGCAGTATTATAAATGATTATTCATTTATCACATCATCGTCATTATTAATAATAATAATAATAATTCATAATAATTCATGTGCCCTTGTAATCTTTAATCATAACTTCCACTCCCTCCTTGCATCGACATCTTCTCTTCTTTGATGACGTATTTACTGGAGCGAGGGTGGGACAACCTTTCACTCACATGAGATCAACAATCCAATGATCCAATCAATTCCCGATATACAGAGTCCCGCCCTACATTTTTTTTTCTTGTTCTAAAAGCCGGAAGAAAATATACTTTAAATATAATTGTTATTTAATAAATATTATAATTTCATAGACTAAACGTGATACACATCTAAATAAAACCTTTTCTCAATTTATTTGATCGTTTTTTGACCGTGAGAGAGACCGGAACAAAAATCTCATTGGATAAATGGTTGTTATCTCTTTTGTTATTGGACCTACGAAAGCAGGCGGGTCTCTGTTTAAAATCTATAACGCCATTGGTTAAGGATGAAAAAACCCAAACCATACCTTACAGTGATTGGCCAGTGACTTTGGCGGGAGGAGGATGCATGTGTGATTTGAAATTTCAAAGGCGGTTAGTGAGAGTCGTTGTTATAGTCGCGCGTGTGTTGGTGGATTAGTTCAGGCGCTCAGTCTTAACCTTTACAGTCTATGGTCTTAACTTTAAATCAGATAGTTTGAGGAATAGCCTAACTTAGTGATCAGGGATCGTGATTTGATAGCAGTAGAAGACCAATCTGCATAGATTAAAGTTGGATTTGTACCATTTCGTGTTAGAGGTAAACAGTGACAATGGCAGGAACAGAAGGACCCCTGAAGGTAAATTAATTTGAAACTTAACGTTATATTAAAATTATCATAAGCACCGGACTCGTTGAGATGTAACGTTAAACGACGTGCTCGTCATTTTTGTTAACAACAGAAGATGAAAGATTGCTACATTAACTTTCTTATATGTCCTGCCCATGACGAGCGGCCTGTAAATCTTCATTGTGATAGACTGATCTTTTTGTTCATATTGTCCAAGTAACTTAACGTTACTCAAAGTAGCTACTTTAGCGTTGATATGTTAAGCTTTTACTTTTGTATACGTTACCTACTGTCAATATTTGTGTCATACTTTTGCTAGAGTTTAACGTTAAATTAGCTGATATGGTTTTCGCTAGCGAATGTTCCGCTACTTTTTGCGTTTTTTTAGGGGGTTGGGTAACGTTGGTAAAGGTAAGTTACATTTTTGCATTGCGTTGTACGTTGAGTATTTTGATGTTAGGAACGAGTTCGATTAAATTGATGCATTCCTTGTTTTGAGTAACTTAGACCCTTACAGGAACGTTATCATAGTAATCACAGTTTCCGCTACATTAGCATCATATTGCTACAATAAACTAACGTGGTGTTCGCTACCTTGGTCACCAAAAAGGGGAAAAATAAATTGACACCGATTCAAAAAGCTCGCTTTACCATTTCCCCACTAACTTAACGTTAAGTTACCTGTCCTTGTGGTCTCCTATGTCTGTTAGCTTTAAGACTAACAGTGGGCTGCTAAATGTTGACCAGAAACTTTTTTGAGATGTTTGAGATGCATGTTACATTTTACAGTCATTTGAGTAATTGATCCACAATGTTAATGACACTGTTTGCACACTATCCAAATTTGTCCAAAATACTTTCTAGATTGTCCCTCACCCTAATGACACCTCTCTTGTATTATGATCAGATTTAGTTAGTTTTATGGAGTGGACATTTAACATTTAGAGGGATAGCCTAGTTCACCCCAAAATGAAAATGTTGTCATCATTCATTCATCCTCAAGTTGTTCCAAAAATCTATGAGTTTTTCTTCTGTTGAACACAAAAGATATTTTAAAGAATGTTAACCAGACAGTTGACGGCACCCATTGACTTCAATAGTATTTTTCCCCCCTACTATGGTTGGAAGTTAATGGGTGCCGTCAATTGTCTGGTTACCAGCATTCTTTAAAATATTATCTTTTGTGTTCAACAGAAGAAAGAAACTCATACAGGATTTGAACAACTTGAGGGTGAGTAGAACGAGTAATGACTATTTTAATTTGAGTGAATCCCTTTAAACCTTTTTCAAGTTCCCCTCAAAAAACTAAAGATTGTATTTAACTTTCATAAACTGTTATAAACAATATTATATCTTTTTGAACAGAAGTGTTGAAAAGCATTTGTTTTGTGTGGATTCCTGAAACTCAAACAGTAGAGCAAGGCGCTAACAATGCTAAAGATCATGGGTTATATTCAGCTAACTGAACTTAAATGAAATTATAAACATGTACACTTGCAATGTAAATTTCTTCAGATAAAAATCATCAGCGTAGTTGAGAAACTGGCATAAATGAAATCAAAAATGTTATATTTCAACTCTGTGCAGCTGCCTTTAACAATGTAATGTATGGTGCTCATAATCTCAACTCTTTCCAGGCATTTTTGTGACCCTTAATGAGAAGGTCACAGAATTTCAAGAATACTATGCTAAGAAGTATTTCCATCAACTCAAATTGAAATGGGTCAAACTGACCCGCAACATAAAGCAAAAAATCGTTGGATTGGTTGCTGTGATGTTACCTATTGTCCTTTGCCCCACATCTATCTCAATAATAAAAAAAAAAAAAAACATCTATCAATCTTACCATGCATGATAATTGCTGTAACATTTGTGTCTTTTAGAGTTTGTTTGAGAATAAGGCTCTTAGTAAGCATAAGAAAGATGAGAAGCGGCTGTCTGTGGAGCGGATCTATCAGAAGAAGACCCAGCTGGAGCATATCCTGCTCCGGCCTGACACCTACATCGGCTCTGTGGAGCCCGTCACTCAGGTAGAGATCATCCATTTGTGCTGAGAGAGGTCATAATGTTTATCAGGGCCACCCGTACCCACCGTTTAAGAATAACGCATACTGCGTTTCATTAATGCTAAAGAATAAATGTTCTACTATTGTGGTCACTCGCTTTACTTAAGCAAAAAATTTTGCTAAGCTGTTCTGTAAAAGTCATGTGTACAAGTAACCAAACTAATATGCTGAATCTCCCTAATCTGTGGAGAAGACTAGCTCATATTTTCTAAAACAGACTTTCAGCAAAACAATTTATTTCATTTAAATTTAAAGGTTTGTGAGTTAATCCTAAAATAATCCTGCAATGTTCAGGTGCTTTGATTTGAAAACATTTTAGATTGAAATGCCATCCCAACAACCCATAGAAATGACATAGAATGACCTAATGTTTCTTCACTTTCTTTTTCCTGTTTAGCAAATGTGGGTGTTTGATGAGGATGTGGGGATGAACTGCAGAGACATCACATTTGTGCCAGGACTCTACAAGATCTATGATGAGATTCTGGGTGAGTTTTGTCATGTGGTATAGTGAATCTCATGTAGTCTGCAGCTAACAGTTTTTACTAATGGACTAGTCTTCCCATTATTAGAACGATTAATCGACTATTCTAGAGATCATTCATATGATTAACAGCTTTTATTGTATTAGGTATGTGCTAAGTAGGGCTGGGGATCGCTGGGTACTTTACGATACGTGATGCATTGTTCACGATGCCGATAATATCATGATATGGCGGTAATCGATATATTATCAGTAATAACTCTATCAAATATATCATGTTTTAAGAAATACAAATATTTTTTTTTTAATTAGGAAAATGAATCTCCATTTATTTTTTTGGATGAAACACAATAACAAAAACAACGTGTCTTATCAGTTGCAACAAAAGTCACAGACACTATTTTAGTGAAACATTGCTGCAATCAGTAGTAATACTATGTCTTCGACAAACAGTGACACCATTTGGGTGCAAAATAGCTGTAAGGCTGAGGACAGATTCAGTGTAAACAATACCATATGATTGTCCTTTATAAACATGAACACTATTAAGTGCAAGAAACATAAACCTTTGGCTTCGAACCAGCACCAACCACGGCTTTCTCACAGAGCTCCGGGTTATGCCGTGTGAGGTGGCTGTGCATCCTGGTCGTGTTTCCCGTGTAGCGGACTTTTGTAAAGCAGTTCTTGCATATTGCGTAGTCCTTTTCTAGCTTTGCCCCGTTCGCACTGCTATAAAATCCAAAGTGAGTCCACACTTTGGATTTAAATGTTGCTGGACCGTCCTTTAACTTCTTGCTCTCACTTCTACTTTCCTCGCTTGACTCCGCCATTTTCAAGTGTGTGTGTACGTCTTCTTACGCCCACAACAGCCAAACTCGCAACACGCGCCCCCTATCTACTTCTGGAGAAGGGTCTCATCAAGGGATAATGAATTGAGCATTTTATAATGGCTTTTAAGATCGATACTTCTCAAGAGCGCATCGAGAATCGATCGCGGGAGTAAATATCGTGAGATATCGCCATATCGATATTTTGGCGCACCCCTAGTGCTAAGAATAAAGACTAGATTAAACTATCGTTGAAAATGACCTTTGCTTAAAGAGTTTAAAAAAAAAAAGTAATTTTTTAAAATGTGTTCGATCTCTCTCGTACATATTTTCATTATATATAATAATTGAAATATACACAACTCAAATTACACGCAAGTTGAGATTCTGACAGTATTTTTAGTGTACATTTTTGAATCCGCATTTGCCTATGCACTATTTTCTTGTAGTACATAGTAGGGCTGTTTTCGACTAAGGATTTTCATAGTCGAATCTGATTCGTTAGATTTTGCCGTAGTCGACTGATAGTCAAAACTTTTTTTTTTTTTTTGATAGCAGCCAGACGTTCGGTTGAATAACTGTTCGTCTGTTATAGGACAACTCGCTCTACGTTTATTTAAAATGAACAGCAAGACAACTAGAAGTGAATGTGCTTTCCATTAAATGAATCCTTAACATAATGAACGTGCTTTGTTTTAAATAAATCACACACCGGAAACAAAACCTTAACAAAAAATCTTTGCAATGAACTTTGCAATTTAGACGCCCAAACTGCGTGCCGGTGCGGTTAGACGTACATGCTCGGGCAGATTCGACTTGAAGTCGTTCATCCTCGGATGCCGGGTCGCGTGCACTGTTACAAAAAAAAGCTGTGCACACAGCCAAGCGAAATGGGGTCTTGCGCACCCAACGCGTCATTTTGCCGCGCGCACCTTCGTGCTCCTGCGGACGCGGCGAGTATAAACAAGGCTTTACTCCGTGTCAGCGCGCGCTCTGATCGGTAAAGGTGCATAGACCTCTCCTGAATCATCTCCAGCAGTAGCAGCCTCTGAAGCACCACTAACTCCGCCTCCGTTTCCCTCGTAAGATGATATATTAGTATTTAAACATTCTCTATGATAAAAAATGTTTGTAAAAAATATTTTAATAGCACGGTTTTGGCGGTTATAGAGTTCTAATGACGGTGTTCAACTAACCGTCAGTCTCACGGTTCTATAATAACCGTCACACCCCTATTGGTTACATAACACTTCCCTACTATTCGACTATAAGGTTCATAGTCGAATCAGACCTCTCCGAATCGAATCGTCGAATCCTCAACTATTAGAAGTCAGCCCTAGTACATAGGCTTTTCTTTTGATTAAAACATGCGTCATTACGGTTTGAAATTGTTAATAGGATAGTTCACCTAAAAATGAAATTTGTCATTTACTCGCCCTTTTGTCACACACAAACATGTACATTTTTATTGGAACCTGACAGAAATCAGTCCCTCTATGTAAACTCCACGCAAACAAAACTCCTAAAAATCATCAATCGTAAAAACATGGTAACATTAATCCATATAAATCAAGCGGTTCAATCAAAGTCTCCTGAAGCGAAACAATTGCTTTATATAATAAACCAATTTAATTTATGCATTTATTCGCTTAAACATCAACGCACACGGACATACATAGAGCACATCAAATGTGGTAAAAGGAAGCAAGCAGGTTTGAACGTTGAATCAGTTTTGACCTTATAAAAAGATGACGTGCTCAGATGATTGCGGCTTGAGTGTAATATTCATTCTCTGATTCATAGTGAATGCTGCTGATAACAAACAGAGGGACAAGGCTATGAACTGCATCAAGGTCAATATTGACCCGTAAGTAACGCACATGCACTGGCTGGTCAGTGTTGTAGATCGAGAGGACGTCTAAGTGGTGTGTGTTTGTGTGCAGCGAAAACAACACCATCAGTGTGTGGAACAACGGG